TTAGCATTTCCTCTCAATAAGCATGAAAATTTGATCCACCAAGTTGGTAGGCAGGAAAATAGAGGTATATTAAGTATAAAGGGCATTAAGCATTAAGCATTAAGGTGTGAGATTGAGAATATCTTAATTAAAGGAAATTTTGGGTCATGTGACAGTACAGATCATGACCTGGAGAGAGCCACTTTTTGTACAGGCCACCTCCATTTTGTAAAATAAATGCATAATGTAATGAAAACCACTATTAAAACTTATTGTTCTTCATGCCTGAGGAGCTTGGATGTGTACAGAACCCAGATAGAACACTCAAGGATGCTAGTGAAATTGTTTTCACTTATTCTAGAGAAGCTTCCCCTGTTAATCTCTCAGCTCTGCTTCCAGATATTTATGCTTCCACTGGTATTCATTCACAAACAAGTACAGTCAATAATACATCTCTACCAAAGGATCCTGCCCATAGTAAAGTACCAAAGTTGAAGTATCAAAAGCTATGCAGAGACTGTCTAATTGCTTTCAAAGCTTAATGTGCTCTTTCAGAGTAAGATTAGTACTGAGTTTACTAAGGCTAGAGTACTTTTTCTAAAGCTTACAAGAAACCTATGTAAGAAAATAAATAGTTCTCTTGAACAGACTGATATTTGATTGTTTTTTAAGTAGACAATGTATTATTGAGTTATGTACTACAAATAAGGAAATTTTATTACTTTACTTAAGCTACTGTCAACAAGTATAACCTCTTACTATACTATGATCCCTCTTTGCCAATTTTTTATTCCTCCAAAACCACTTAATATTTTGATCTGAAAATTTGCATATATGTATATTAGAGTATAATAAAGTACAATATCTTTTCAAAATAATTTTTACAATTTTTTATAAACTGTAGAGGGATACAATCCCTCTTTGCCAACTTTATCACATTCTGTCACAGAAATTTGGCTCTAGCAAGATATAGTACAAGCTCTAGGAATCTGTCACTTTTGTCACTCTCAAAACAATCTTTACTTAATTTTAATTTACAACTACTATTAAATCTCTCAAGAAAAATACTATAAGTACTTGAGTATAAATTATATACATTTGTAGTAATATTAACTTATTAACTTGATAATAAAAATTAAAACTACTAATTATAAGGTTTGTAACTAGTAGAAATAATAGTATTTACAGGTTTTTAATTCCTCTATGTTAGGAATTGTAAAATACAGTAACTAAGTTTGGAAAACCTAACTTAAGACTTGGAACCAAGTAGTTTATAAACAAAACTCTATTAGTTACAAGTCTAAAGATTAGTCAGATCAACTAGACTACCTTTGTTGTCCTACTTAGTAAGAACTCTAGCTTAGTATTATTAACCTCTAATTATTACTAATAGGTGATCAATCTATTAGTAGAGAGAGGGGACAGGAAGGAGTAAGTACTAAGTCAGTTAGGAAAAAGTAACAAAACCTATAAACAAGGTCTTTATCTCTCTAAGGTTAAACACATACTTTAGCATAGTATTACTTAATAACCTTAACTAAAGACAAGTCATTTAGAATGCTTGTATAGAGAGAGGATCTAAAAAGAGTATAGTGTCTAGAGTAAGGAGTATAATAGAAAAGACTAGGAGAAAATCTAGAAAGATAAAGGAAAATATTATACTTACTTATAAGAGAAACTATATAGTTAGTTAGAAACTCTTTGTACAAAGACAAAGGACTATTAAAGCTAGTAAAGAGTCAGAGCTAGTACTCTAAAACTCTATACTTAAGAAGGACTAGTACTAGTGTAAAGGAAAGGGAACTGAGAGCTCTAAGGAGAGACTATAGGAAAGTAGTCTCCTTTATACACTTTACTTATACAGATAGGAAAGTAATAAAGTTATAAACATGAGGACTATATGAGGACAATATGAGGAATACATGAGACAATCTAGAACTTTGGTTGTAAGTTCTATGATTGAATACAGAAGTATAAAGATAAGGCCAGAAGTTAATAAGGATAATTATCTCCTAAACTAAGTTTATTAAAGAAGACTTAGAGAAAGATTTAGAACATTAGTTGTCAGTTCTAGAGTGTACACAAGACAGTCTAGAACTTTAGTTGTAAGTTCTAGAGACAGTACAGAAATACAGCCTTTTATATTACAGAAGTTATAAGGAGTTATTAGAAGTTATAATACTCTACCTTATAAGAAAGAGTATTACAAACTAGTGTACAAGAAGTACAGGTTCAGTCAGACAGAGTCATAAGAAGACTATAAGAACAATAGAAAGCTCTACTTTATAAGAAAAGTATTATACAGCTTACACAGTATAACTAGTTAGGAGGACTCATAAGGAGTCATTAGAAGTATAAGAGGAAGTATGGAAGACATAACAATACAGTAAAGGAGTCATTAGAAGATTAATCTAGAATATAAGAAGATACAAACTAGTGTTACAAGATTAATAGAAGACACAAACTAGTGTAGCATATAGTCTAAAGGATTAGCTAGCTCTACTTCATAGGAACAACAGTAAAGAGAGTTACTAAAGTCACTAGAGTAACATTACTCTAGTAAAAGGTATATAAGGAGGCTAGTTTAGCTCTCAAAAGATAGTTTTATTAACTTAAGTTACCTAGTACTTAGAAGTACTCTACTACTAACTTACTAGGCTACACTTACAGCTTAACTAAAGTAGGACTCCTCTACCCTCTCACTCTACAAGTCTACAAGTCTTACCCTCTATACTCTATTCTGTTACTATTCCTAAGGATTAGAACTAGTAAAGTGAGTATATCTAACACTCTATTAATTTTTTTGTAGAAAAAAAGAGATATTGTGTTTTAAATAGTAAAAACACACCCTTATGAATTTTTGTAGAGTATTAGGTGTTGTGTTTTGTGTGTAAATGCAAATTGGCAAAGAGGGATTGTTGGCAAAGAGGGATCATAGTATAGTATTAAGTATGGCCTCACCTGTCCACAGTGGGTCATGCTTAATGACAGGTTTCACTGTAGTTGTCTGAGGCAAGGAACGTCTCATGTCCTTCCAGCCGTGAGCGAGCTTTCAAATATCGAGAGAGTTATGCATTGTCATTCCAGGACGGAAACTGGTCAGACTGAGCTTCAAGAAACTTAAGGCCCATGTATATCTCAGACGCTCATCATCGTAGGTTATTCTTGGCAGTGCTGACCGAAGCTCTCGGCCAAAAGCAGCAGGCTCAAAAAACAGCTGAGGATCGTCTTCGCACACAAAGAGACCGCACGTCTTTTCTAATACCAGCGACAGTCCAGTGGTGGGATTCCCAGAAGCACTGTTGTATTAAATCATGTGCAGTCGCTGGCACTCGCTGTGCAAGGCGAGAAGAGCTGTTCCCTAGAGTCCGGGTGTGCAACACACTCGTGGATGGGTGCAAGCGAGAAACGTTGGCCGGAAGGGTTTGTCCTCCTGCAAAGTGAGATTTTCGAACGTGCCTGCATGGCAGCAGGAGCAAGGCAAGGAATGGAGAACCTGAAGGGGATACCAGGAATGTGTACGTACGTAATGAATCAGCTGACGATCGACGCGATTCGCGCGCGATCTCAGCGCAGAAACGAGCAAGATGGCATATTTTATTCACCATGCCTATCGGTGGCAAAGGGGAGCGAAATAACTGCCGCCGGACAAGATAGAGGCCAGAACTGCGCAGCTTCCGAGGTATTACATGATAGACACAGCACCGGTGGTATGCCGCAAGATAAGCCTGGGAGATAGAAGGGGAACCGACAATGAATGGAAAAACAGGACCAGCGTCGGACACGTTCGCATACTCAATCGCAAGATGACCTCATTTCTAACTTGTACCAGCTCATCTGGGACCTACCCTGGGCTATTAGAACAGAAGGGTACTTATCTCGCATAACATGCCCACTTGGGAACAGAACCTGGACAAGCGCGTCCGCTGCCTATCGTATCTGGAATACTTATCGTCTCCGCCCGCTGAGAGATAGCTATATTGGAATACGCTCGAGGACCAATCCTAGCCCGAGGCCCTTATCTGCTTCTCCACGCCTCCGCCTGCGCACCAGATAGCGCATCTTGCTCACCTCTAGCGTTTCTTCTGGTCCCGTCCATCTCGCTCGTCCAATCTTTCAATCTCTCCATTCTATCTCTCCTTATTACTCCATGACGCTCCCTGTACAGAGCAATGCACGTTCTACTGCGTCTGCAAATCCGAAGGGAAGCAACATTTCTCCCCAGTCGCCTTGCACACATACCTTCGACGAATGGCGCACCTTTTCAACGTCCTATTCCGCACAGCGAACCGTCTCTGGAAAGTATGGCGTCGACTTTCGTTTTGCTCCCGAGCCGAATGGAGATGAACGGAGAGCACTCAAGCTACTTGATATCGCGACAAAATGTCTAGGTCCGAGAGCCATCAAGAAAAATGCGGAGCGATTTGATTATGTGCGTTTGCTTTTTCCCCTTCAGGAAGTTTGTGGAGTATTGGCATCCTCTGATTCTGCTCTGTCCTCTACACAGGTCGAAAATTACAGTGCCAGGACGAATCATGCATATCCATGCGCGACGCCCAGTGCGCACATTCAGGGTGCCCAGGCTCCGGGTAAAGGTGTAGCTCAAGCAGACCCATCCTCATCCTCACCTTCTTCCTCACGCTCAAAAACACCGCGCGCTTCGCCCACAGACCTAGATCACCTCGCCTTCTTCAATTTCCCGGACGACGTCACCCCAGGACCCCCAGATAAGGACGTCGAACATGAGCACGATACGGACCCAGACACGGACACTGGGAGCGAAAGAGAGCTGCGAATCGAAGACTTAGAGGCACCATTCGCACTACAGCAACTCGGGAGGAATTTGACTGTCCGTGGGAGGCAGAGAGGGCGGCGGAGAGACAGAGCTGAGTCGACCTCTACTTCGACTACTGGTTCAGGCTCTGGCTCGGGTTCAGCGCCTGGCTTCGCACCGATGGCTGCATTGACGCCTCCGACAGCCAACAGGACAAATATCAATACTGGGTCGACGTCGCTTCCTACACCAACACATGTAACGCCGACTGCACCAGCAACTTCAAACCAGAGTTCTCCACTCCGTCCTGTGTATGGGCGTCGCGGCCCAAGCGCAGTATCCGAGTCTGGTGCAGGCACTATTGGTGGTGCCGGTAGTCCTTCAGACTTCGGTGTCGGCCTGTCTGCTGCTGCACGTGCGAGAGAACGCGCGAGAGGGATTGGAACGCCCAGGAGCGAACCTGATTCAAGTCTGGCGATGGGCATGAGAGCGTTGCCAACGGGAGCTATGTCAGGATCGAGCCTTGGAGCGTTTAACGTGGGAGCTTATGGGTATCGCTATCCTGCCCATCCTCCGTACCCGCCTTCATCTGCAACGACCGGTATTGTTCAGAACACGGGTGCGGGTGCAAATGCAAATATTCAAGCCGTGACTGGCATCTCGACAAGTGCGACACAACGACAAGGAAACACTTATGCATCGCAATACCGAGGACAAGGAGGCAGCAAAATACCTAACTACTCTTTAGGTTCCATCAAAGCCGAGGACACTTCATTGTCAGCTCTACAACGTCAAGCATACACATCGCCATTCGCAGCAAATTCAAACATAAATCAAAATCAGCGATGGGCGGGAGCATCGACGACGACGGGAACGACTGCGACGGAAGACATGGGTATGGATATGGACATCGACATGGGTGGGTGGGCTCGTGTTTCGGATCCTCTGCCTGGGATGAACTTTAGTGAGATGATAGCCTCCACTCCGTACGCATCAGGTCAAAACCAGACTCAGAGCCAAAGCCAGAGTCGCATTGCGTACGGACCCGGACCCGCACATGCGTACCAACAACAGCAACAACAAACCCAGTATGCTGTCCATGCACAACAACAAATGTCATACGGCGTACCTCAGGCGCATCAACAGGACGTACAAATGTCCTATTATGCATCGCCCATGATGTCGAACCCTAGCCCAAGCATGACATCGAGCTCGACTATGAGCACAAACCCCGGGTTGAACATGAGTCCATCTCGGTACGCCCCTTCCTCTCCTCTCCTCTCACCTCCAACCTTTCTACCTCATTCATCCTTCACCGTCCACTTTCCCTTCCTAACTTACAAGAGGGCTGATGGTCGTGTGCTCTAATGTAGGTGGAAAGCGAGCAATACAAGTCCGAGTACGCAAGTCACGATGAGCTCGTCTTCTGCTGTTATGGGCCAGAGTCGAGCTCAAAGTCTTGGACAAGGTCAGGGGAGGACGGGATACTGGCCGACATCAGACATGAGGAGCGGGAATTGAAATAACAATTTTTTATCCCATCGAATAATGAGATGGATGGAGAGTGTTGTGTTCCGAGATAAACGAAAGGCTCGCGAGCGACGCTGGACTCGTGAACCAACACTGTATTTGTTGAGACAATTGTGAGGATAGCAGGAGTTCTTTTACGAAAAGGAGTATTAATTACATTAGTTTCGTCATGACAATACTTCTTCCTTCTCTCCTTTTTCTCCTTTTATCTGACACTATTCAAACATCGTATTTTTTTCGCCTCACACCAATGTCCTCGTTCCTGTACATATCGCACCATTACAACTAAAATCCTTGTTCGCATTCATGTTCACACTTCATGCAGCACTTTTTTTCGTACGTAATTATTTGCAACCACCTCGACACTTGGTCTGTTTCTGCTTGTGCAGTGTATGAGCGCTGTATAGAATCTTGTACAAGTTGTAGCCAAAATTCACTGTCTTTTTCATTGTACACGTGTAGCGAAGCCATTCCTACTAATAGTACTATGGTGCGGTCGGACTTCTTAGGTCTTCGGATTTCTGCTCAGCCCACGTTCGAATCATTCGTCTCTCTGGCCCGAATCCCGATGCCCATGCAACTTTCGATTTAACCAACGTTTCTACTGCAGCTATGCTTCATACTACTATTACAAGAATAATCAAGAGCTCTTCTACCGAATTCCCGCAAGCTTCGCTTCTCTCGCTAAACAGTACTTGATTTGGCCTCTCATTCGCAGCATGCAGGAAATGCTCGTTCTATTTAGAGCTCAAATTGTCTTCTTGACTTTTTTTCGGCGCATATGAAAGGAACGTGTTCATCGTCTATGCTCAAAATAGACAAAAGGCTATATTTATTACGGCTATTCCGGGACCTGGAAATACAGAACATGGCATCATAGCCCTCCTAAGATTATACATGCAAACATGCTGTACAAATGGCTTTATACACAAGTGTACTCTCTTTGCATCATCAACATCATCATGCAATAGTACTCGATCGGATAATTCGTTTCGGTCCATGCAATCTTTTGACATCGTCTGCACCCACCCGTTTTAACTCGTGTCTTTTAACCTCCCTTGCTATCTCCTCGCGTTCTTCACGGGTACCATTATTTTCTTTATCGTCATCGTCGTCACTTATCCAATCTTCATCGTTTTCACTTCTTTCCTTCAGTTTTACCTTTATCGGTTGTGCTTTTCTCTTGTCATATCTGTCACTTAACGGCTTCATCTGGTCTTCTTGTCTAATAGTATCCCTTTCTTGTAATATTCCGGTCGTTTTTCGACCCACGCCTTGATGTGTCTTTCTCTCACCATGTTTTCTGTCCGTCTTTCCATTCTCCTTTTGACGTTGTTTAGCATCCCAGGCTTCCACTTCTTCTTTAAATTGAAGTGCTTTCCTTGGAAGATCGAATACATTTGCATGAACCTTTATCTTCTCTCTGTTGGTAAGACCGGTCGCAGCCCTGCGTAGCGGTTTTGGAAGGTTGGAAGCAACACCTTCATCCGGCCGGACAACTGGTTTAAGTTTGTCAACTAATTGATGCATAGATCAATGAAAGGAAAACGCTTACGTGCAAGCTCGAATTTTGGCATTCCAGCAATTCCTTCCCCTACTACCCTTTGAGTTACAGTATATCCGCGTCTTGCAGCAACTATGCAAAGGATAACACAGATAATGTATGAGTAAACGAGACAAAGTCATGTCATGCATTTAATAGAGTAGTCCTCACTGTCAGCTGCTTCTTGGATGTAATCCTCAACCGAGATCCGGCGTGCTTTTTTGTTCATTTCTGCCTAGCTTTGGATCTGTACATTGAGTGGCAGAAGAAAAGAGGAAGGACAAGATGGAGAAATGCATAGTAAATGTGACACTTTATAGTACTTGTATATAGTGTAGCATGTTAACATGCCTACTTAGCACTGTCGAGCTCATCAAGAAGCGTGTGAAAAGAGCAAAGAAAGCTCAAATATCTGCAAATTGACATATTAGTACTATCCGCCTTGCTTTTTGGATCATACTTTGCTCGACCGAATAATAATAACTCTTGGCGTAAGGAGACATTTCTCCGCCGTGTCTGTAAATCAGTAAATGCTATGTCTGTCACAAGAAATAAAGTGATAAATCTCGTAGAACATTTCTCTTTTTTTGATGGTCACTCGCTCGGTTCGTAACTAGCATTATGAATGTAAAGTTATTTGACATTTTACCCACTGTTCTTAGTTGCTGCTACTTGTGGAAACGTCTTTCTACATTCGTTGCATAATCATACTGTATTATCATCCTACAAATGACTATTTATCATCTTGACCGTCCCGTACCTCCTTCAATTTGTGTGCCTCATTCTCCTGCCATTCCAACACTTTCTTGTAAAAGTACTTTTGAGCGTCTTTCGGTCTTTCTACTCTAACCGCCGCAGAATAATGTCCCTCTTTTCTATATGGATTTATAAACCCGTGCCAAAACGTGTGTTTTGATGCATTTTCTGGCGCGGATACTAAGCATATGTTGATGCAAGAATTCAAAATATCAGCGCGTTAGAGATTCGCAATCTAACTGTCATGATACCTTTTGCACTCACACCAAATGTGATAATACCTGTGTCCTACACTGTTTGGATCTCTGATCTCCTCTTCAATCTTAAATCCGTATGGCACAATAACTGTATGTTTCATAAATCAGTTAACCGCAAATTGATTATGAAGGGAGTATGGTGGAGAAGATAGGAAACACACTCTCTTGTGCCTTTTGTTTGTAGTCAACGTTTTCGTCTTCATGACCTGGCATATTTCGTAACGTTTTCAGTCTTAGGTATCTTTGTTCCACACCTCTTTGGAAAGCCCATAGAGCCGAGTTAATGGGAATTAAAGACGTGTATGTGGCGTACCCCATGCGAACATTCTCCGACCTGCAAAGTTATGTGAGGTAATCGTTATGTGAGTGGCGGCAACAAAGGAAGTCCACTGTTGTGCAAAGTGCTGTAACTTATGGCGCAGGGCTCCATTTCGTTAATTGCTCAAGCGCGAGCCAACGTTGTGAAAGACTCACTTGCCAAAGCTAGAAATTAAGAAGACGTGCACATTGTCAAATCAAGGCCCATTGCAGAGATTCATTATTTCCTGAAGCATGTCTTTATTAATTTATTTTGAGTGCACTGTATCATTCATCTAACACTTTATCCACCAATATTAATGAGTTGACACTGGGTGAGAAGGATGTTCAAAAATGGATCAGTAGTGGTCAGGTCTGTCAGTGGGTTGGTCCTCCAATGAAAGACAATGTATGAGGTGGCCATGACCTTCCATACCAATAGGTGGATACTGTCAAGTTTATTGACAGACTTTGGTGGACACAAAGTGCTAAGTGTATTGCAGGGCAGTGAAGGGCTTCTATATTTCAAAAACTTTTACAGCAAATACAACAATTAACTACAGTGGAAAAGAAAACAAAAAACCACTATAGAAAAAGAGGCTGTTATGTGTTAGGAGTATGGAATTTCATTCTGTGGTATATTAAGCTAGTTCTAGCACAGAAGGTAGACTGACATTGAGAACAACAGAAACAATGGTGTGTAAGAATAGGGAGGAAAGTGGTTGCATAAAGGGTTTTGGACTCTGAGCAAGAGAGCCTGTGGTGGTTGAACGTGAAGTGTGAAAACGTTCGCTCGTCCATCCAGTTGAGTAATCGGTGAGGGCCAGCGTCTGTGTAGACAGAGAACCCTCGGCTCAAAAGAAGGTCACAGGTACGGGCTGTGACCTCTTCCAGGATGTTGACATCGATGTCGGGTCTGGGGCGTGTGGTGTAGGGCCTTGAGGGTTCAGGTGTGAAAGAGGGGTTTGTCAGCCTTGAGGCCTCAGGTAATTGAGGTGAAGGGTGAGGTGAAGGGTCGACTCCTTCAGGCTCCTCGTGTTGGGGGTGAGGCTCAACGCCTTGAGGCAGAGTCGTGTCGACTGGGTCCTGGACCATAGGGAGTACATTGTCGTCAATGTACATGTCAGTCTGGGACAACAGAGGAGAGACAGCGAGTGGGAGCTCAACATCGTCAGATGGAGCGTCGACTCGTTCAGTCTTGGGTGGCTCGACCACTAGGGGAGCTCGGGTGTGTGAATTGGTAGGTTTTCGCCGACGAGTTCGTCGGCGATGCGTGTGGGTGGCTCGATGAAAGGCTGCAAGAAGGTCTTGCTGCTGCCATTTCTGGCACTCGAACAAAGCGATCTCAAAAGATACGACGGCGGCCTCGTAGCTCGTCGTAGAGGTAGAGAACTCGAAATTCCCAGGGTAGACATGACTGTTAGAGGGAAAGAAGAAGGGCAACAAAGTCGCATACTTTTCGCATCCGGGCCCTGAGTCCCACGGCCCATTTTTAGTTAGCTCCAATTGGCCACATGTAGTTCCTCTCACATTTCACTAAGTCAAAATAAAGTACTTTTCCTAAGAAAATAAATATTCCCCTCCCCCAATCCTAACTAAAACCCAACTTAACACCTAAGCCTAACAGCCCAAACTTATCCTAAACCTAATTGGGGTGGCAGAGCCCCCCCAAACCCCCCTCCTAACTTCTCACTCTGTTCATGACAAGGGCCACAGTATGCTAGAATTACATAAGTGGTTAGTCAGGGTCATCCCTAATTGGGCTGTAGGATTCAGGGCCTGAATATAAAAAGTTAAGAGTCAGGCAACAATCAGTCACTAGGTCAGGTGTAGTTACATTTAGTGATTGTTACCAAAATACATAATTATGGATTGACAGCATTTGACTGTGTGAGCTGTAGGACTTTTAAAGGTTTACTCATCTTCTACTTACTTCTCCTACAATATTGAGTAGAGTGCTTAGTGTTAGTCTTACTCTAGGCTTTGACAGACTTAGATATTGTCCCAAACTCAAGTTCTGGCAAACTACTCCATATTTTATTCT